ATCAGTTAAATACATTTTTGTATTAAATTAAACCGTAGGTTTAAAAATGTAATTATCAATGAGAAAACATTACATGAGATACAAAACATTAATTGTGTATTCTTGGGACATTTCAGGTAGCATGCATCAAAGACAGGACAAAGGTTTTATTTGCATAAACATTTCCATCAGGATTTATTACACTGACAATCAATATAATAACAATTATACATGGAAAACATAGTAATTGGCTAAAATATCTTGGGGAATACCAATCACCATGTTGGCATCCCATGTATTATGTTACAAACTCTGCCATTACCTTTGTTAACACTAAAAATATACGAGTCATATTCACTAGATTTAAAAATTACAAGTCTAGTAATTCATTTTGCTACAATTGAAAAATAATAAATAAATGACTTACTGTTCATCCATCCATTTTCTATTCAAAGATCACAGAACATTGAAACTAACTCGTAGACCCATACAATCTCGAACTTGTGTCAAAGATGATCACGTGGTCACACATATCCTACACTTATGCTGTGAACGAAGTATGGTGACCTCATTGACTCAGTACGTCATCAATGGTTAGAAAGAAGAGGCTGTCACTATCTTAGGGATCGTCACATATTATTCTTTAACCAATTAGTTTACTAATATAGAAAATACTTAAAATAGCAAAACTTGCCATTTTCTAGAGATTATTCACTTATTATATAAAACTAACAAAACTTTGCTGTCAGCTTCCTATGTCATTGAAAGCCACGAAATAAGAATAAAATTAGACATAAAGACGTTTGGGACTGTTTTCGAGGTCTAGATCACTAGACCAGACCCGTGATCTGAGTCGAGACCATGAGAGCCAGCATGGAGAAGTTAATTTGAAAATGTAAAGCAAAACGATGTAGCAATGAAACATGCTTGAAATGTTCCAGATGTGGTTGTGATTGTGATGGATTAAGTATAGTGATTAATGTAAATCGTGGATCCAGGTTGGATGAAACAAGAACTTATTCAAAAATATCCCAATTAATTTGACATACCAGCTGAATTGGAGACTCGTCAACTAACTACTGCACTGACAGCTAAACGTAAAACAACGAGCACAACAGTATCTTTATGTTCACAGAGGATGATTGGAATCATTTGTAATAAATCATTAGTTTTAATATTTTGTGAAACTAATGACACAGTAAAGCAATCTTGAAGTTGAAGTAGATGCAAGATGCATTACAAAATTATTTCCCTAGCAATTATCAAATTAAAAATGCCATTTTTGCGATGAAGAGTAAATATTAAAAGGATGGTATATTGCCCAATATGGTACCATAATATAATCCATATATATTTCATCATGCCATATTTTTATTAATATTTAGTTTATTTTTGTTATAGAAGCTGCATCGAGCTTCATTCTTCGAGATCTATCGAAATAACCCTAAATCACCAGTTTCCGAAATGACCCTCTGTTGACCATCCTAGGCTCAGTACTAAAATATGCTGTGCTGGCTCGTGTGGTTGGTGTTAAGACATAACACAGATAAATTCATCGACCAATCATAAGGTATCGTGTATTAACTTAAAATTTCGTCTTGCGAAGAAATAACAACAAGAACGATGGGTGGAAAGCAAGGCCCGGAATGGCCAGGTGGTTAGGGCGCTCGTCTCTCAAAATACGGGTTGCGGGTTCCAATCCTTATCCCACCAAACATGCTTACCCTTTCAGCCGTAGGAGCATTATAATGTGACGGTCAATCCTACTATTCATGGCAAAAGAGTAGCCCAAGAACTGGCGGTGGGTAGTGATGACTATCTGCCTTCCCTCTAGTCTGTCACTGATAAATTAGGGATGGCTAGCAAAGATAGCCCTCGTGTAGCTTTGCGCGAAATTAAAAACAAATCAACGAAAGCAAAACTGCAGTAAAGGAGTAACTACTTCTAAATTACCAAATTACTTTAAATTGTAAAAATAGGTAAATTGTCAGTATAAAATGGTTTAGTTTTTTTTTTTGTCGTTAACATACTGGGCTGCTTAGTTTGAGCAGAATATGCCATTTAACATACTCCGCACTTTAGTATCAGTTCTGCTTCTCGGTTAATAATATTCATGTAGGCGTCAGGTGCTACTAGTTGGTTGTCCTCCAACTGGTCAGTAATTTTAAGTTGGGGATAGCTATTTCTGAATTATTGGGTTTCTGATCTGGCTATATTCTATGCACTACATAAGGTGATGTTCAAATTAAAAACACCTTTTACCAAATGCACGTGTTTTTTCGTCGGTTGAAGCCACAAAACGGGAAGATTTTATGCAATTGATTTCAAGTTTTTATAGAACTTTCTAAAATTCTACCATTAAATCTTTAACCAAATAAAGTAATATATTTTTAAATGACAAACGTTGACATTCTTAGTTAACCAACAGAATAACCCCACACGTTTCTTTCTTCCACGATCTGATGTAGTTGACATTACTGATTCTGCGTGAAACCGAAGATTCGTATCACAATTACATTTCTATAAAGAAAAAAAGGCCCGATATTAGGTTTATGCTTCTAGATGTCTAGTTATATTATGTGACTAGTGGGGACTTAAAATGTCTTAAAGTATGAAAGAAGGATGAGACAGAAGCTAAATCCAAAAGAAGATGTAAAATTTTAATGTGCAATCATAAGTGTACTACTTTCTTCATACATCATTGAAGATAGTGTCTCAGCTTCTCCACTGCTAAAACTGTAGCAACTACTTTAAATATCATACAAGCCATTGGGAGTACCATATTAAAAAAAATAACAATAACACACTTTAACTTTTCCTTCCAAGTAACATATAGCCTATAGAGAGCTAGGTGATGACAACGCAATAGGTGTAGAGTTTGAGAAACGTCACAAGAGTTTAACATGTAGTTTTTAAAGGAGCTTATGATGTTGTGAAAGGATGCTGTATTTCTACCACAGGATGTGACACTGTTGATGGTGGTGTGTTTACTGTTACATTGACTTGATTGATATAGTTTTTAAAGGGTGTAGTGAAAGGATGCTATATTTCTACCACAGGATGTGACACTGTTGATGGTGGTGTATTTACTGTTACATTGACTTGATTAGTATAATTTTTTAAAGGGGTGCAGTGAAAGGATGCTGTATTTCTACCACAGGATGTGACACTGTTGATGGTGGTGTCTTTACTGTTACATTGACTTGATTAGTATAATTTTTAAAGGGAGTGTAGTGAAAGGATGCTGTATTTCTACCACAGGATGTGACACTATTGATGGTGGTGTATTTACTGTTACATTGACTTGATTAGTATAATTTTTTAAAGGGTGTAGTGAAAGGATGCTGTATTTCTACCACAGGATGTGACACTGTTGATGGTGGTGTCTTTACTGTTACATTGACTTGATTAGTATAATTTTTTAAAGGGGTGTAGTGAAAGGATGCTGTATTTCTACCACAGGATGTGACACTGTTGATGGTGGTGTGTTTACTGTT